GAGCAGGTTGTTGAAGGGAGCCCTGGGAAAGCAGCAGGAAGAGGCCTGGAAACTAGCAGAGACTCTGCCCTCACGGAAGTGAAGATGGATCCTCTAAAAAGGGGGAAGTGACTGTATCTTATAACTTGTGCGGGAGATTCTAAGAACTTTGGAGTAGACCCGTGGGCTTTGTCTACACTACAAGGGCTATGTCTACACTGGCCCCTTTTCCGGAAGGGGCATGTAAATTTCATGAGTCGTAGTAGGGAAATGCGCGGGGGATTTAAATATCCCCCGCGGCATTTAAATAAAAATGTCCGCCGCTTTTTTCCGGCTTTTAAAAAAGTAGGAAAAGTACTTGAAAGTAGGAATAAGAGCCTCCGGAAAAGGGCACTTATAAAAATGTCCGCCGCTTTTTTCCGGCTTTTAAAAAAGCCGGAAAAGAGCGTCTACACTGGCCCCGATCCTCCGGAAAAAGTGCCCTTTTCCGGAGGGTCTTATTCCTTAAAAGCCGGAAAAAAGCGGCGGACATTTTTATTTAAATGCCGCGGGGGATATTTAAATCCCCCGCGCATTTCCCTACTACGACTCATGAAATTTACATGCCCCTTCCGGAAAAGGGGCCAGTGTAGACGTAGCCCAAGGTTTTTGCGGCAGAAAATTTGCTAATGACATCGCGACTCATGCTCATGAATTCGTCATTAGCATACTCTCTGCTGCAAAAACCTTGTAGTGTAGGCATAGCCGTGGTGTCCAGCATGCTAGCCACTAGCTACATGTGGCTATTTGGCCAGTTAAGTGTGGCTAGTTTGCTACAGCAGTAGCCACTATGGTGGCTACTGCTCCAGAACTGGTTAGATACTACCAGAGTAGACTGTGACCCATCCAGGGCCCCTCTGAAGAACGAGTGACCAGATATCTGCGCTGATTAGGCTTCATTTGGAGTATTGTGTCTGGTTTTGGGCATCACATTTCAATAAAGATGTGGCAAAATTGGAGAGGGTCCAGAGAGGAGCATAAAAATTATTAAGGGTTTAGAAGAAATGACTTGTGAGGGAAGACTAAAAGAATTGAGGTTGTTTAGTTTGGAAAAGAGAAGACTGAGGGGACATAATAGCAGTTTAAGTATCTAAAAGGGTGTTACAAGGAGTAGGAAGAAAATTGTTCTCCTAGACCTCTAATGGTATGACAAGAAGCAATGGGCTTAAACTGCAGCAAGGTGTAGTTTGGACATTAGGAAAAACTTCCTAACTGTCAAGGTGGTTAAGCACTGAAATAAATTATCTAAATTGTGCTGGGTCCTGCCATGAAGGCAGGGGATTGAACTTGATGACCTCTCGAGGTCCCTTTCAGTTCTAGGATTCTATATCTTGCATAAAATGGGCTTCAGCTTTCAACCTTTTGTTTAATCTCTTTGGTTGATTTTTGGATTTGTCTGTTTCATATTGCAGTCTGAAATGGGGAGAAATAGTCAGAAAGCCTTGGCTGGCAAGCTGAGAGCCTGTCATCGTGAGGCTGACATTGAATGGTTTTGATGGAAGGATCGGACTGGTGTGTGTGCGCTTTTCATGTAGTGTCCAATGCGGGTGCTTTGATAAGGACAGATCCCCGACACCCTGCTTTCCCAATTTGTTTGACCAAAGAATTTTAGTAGATGTATGATTTTCCATTACAAACAATCACTGTCAACTGCTAGTTCTGGGACACAAGATGGGAAGGACTCCGGGTCACAAGAGAGAACTCCTTTGCAAGTGTCTGGCTAGTGGGTCTTGCCCACAACAGAGTCTAACTGAATGATGTATTTGGGATCAAGAAGGAATTTTCCTGTAGGTCAGATTGGCAGAGACTTTGGAGGATTTTCACCTTCCATTGCAGTATGGGTCCCTTGTGGGTTTAAACTAGTATAATTTTGTGGATTCTTTGTAACTTGAAGTCTTTACATTTGAGGACTTCAGCAACTCAGGTCTATAAGAGGAGTGGGAGGGCAAGGTTATTTGGCCTACAGTATGCAGGAGGTCAGACTTGGTTATTAATACTCTCTTTGGCTTTGAAGTCTATCTGTCTATGAACCATATTCATCTACATCTTTTATAATTCTGTGATTAGCTATTTGGAGAAGCTCTATGGTCTATATTATACAGGAGGTCAGACTAGAAGATCACAATTGTTCCTTCTGTCTATATGATTTATGAATCTCTACATTTTAGGAATTGCTGCAGGATCACTTCTTTTGACACCTCAGTTTTTGACAGCACATCCTGTTTATTGCTCAAGAAGAATAGTCCTGAGGCAGGAATGTCTCCAGCATTCTCTGCTGTAAGAACTGATGCAATCAAATAATTCAGCTTCTAAGAAATGTCCTTATTCTCCTTCATTGTGCCCAATAAACCCTGGCCCTGATATACTTAAAATAATGTCTTGCTTTTTTTTTTTTTTTTTTTTTTTTGGTCTTTGGCTGTTTGCTCTTCAAAATTTCTCTTAGTCCTAATTACATTTTAGCATTGTAAGCCTTACCTTAAATGGAATGTGATAAACCATAGCACCCGCTGAAGCCTAGTATGACTAAGCCAGAAATATGAATCTCTTGAGTAGAAGGAACACACAAACAAGTGTACTCATCTCTTATGCTAAATTACCATCTTATGGATACAGATGAAGATAAAATTGTTTCTCAAAACCTTGTCCCATTGTAGAATAGTGATAGAAATGTAGCCGTGTTAGTCTGGTGTAGCTGAAACAAAATACAGGACTATGTAGCACTTTAAAGACTAACAAGATGGTTTATTAGATGATGAACTTTCGTGGGCCAGACCCTCATTGATACCTAGTACTATCATATCTATTTGTTGTATCCTCTTTTGTTTTGTGAACTCTTATTGGGAGCTTGTGTGGAGCCTAACACCACAGAGTTAGGACTCCTAGTGGTAGCCACAATACAAACACTAACAAATGTCTATCTATGTCTGTACAGGGTTTGTGTGCTCAAACACTGTATGTGAAAAACATGTAGGATCAGGTCTGGAAGCTAGTTGAGGGCACCATGAAAATTAAGCTTTTAAATATCTCTTTGCAGAAATAATTGAAAAGCCCAAATATTCAGAATTTCTGCCCACGTTTATATGGCGATTGCAAGTGTAGTTGTGATAATCTCATGCACCAATTCTACCTGTGCACTTTGAGTGTGGTTCTAAATGTCTGGGACATATTTTTGAGCCTCCCTTGTTTTGGACATCTGCAGGGGACACTGCAAGATTTCAGAGGTCATTTACATAAAGCCAGACTTTCCCAATTTAGGGTCAGATCATCAGCTAAACAAATAAAATGAATGATATGGCTCTATCTTAACTAGCCTCAGTGTGCCAAAAAAATGTTGTGTCATTATTCCGCTAAATCAGCTTCAACTTTAATTAAACTATATATTGTAGTGGGACACTATCAACAGTAAATCAGTACTGGTTACTGGATCTGTTGAGGGATTGGGACATTGCTGTAATAACATTACTGCAGTATTATCTGGCTTTGCACTCCAGAGGCACACAAATGCTCATCAGACAGACACAAGACTAACAAACAATGACAAAACTGTTAAAGTGCTCTTGCATCTCATGAAAAATTCATTGTTTATCTGATACAGCATCAGGCATAATGACTCTAGCTGTGAAATCCTTCCTTGGCAAGCATGAGACAGTTCTTGTAAAATAAAAGGTTCCTGAAAATTGCAAATTTAGGGCAAGATCAATTGAAATAATGGGAAAGAGCCATTAAGTCTTAAAATAGATTACGGCACTGCTTGTCTTTGAGTTAGTTTTATTCTGGGCGCAGAAGGCTTTTCTCAATGTCACCCTTATATAAACCAATGGTGTTTGTGAATGTAAATATGCTTTTGGCAGATGTGAGTTTGTAGCCTTAGCTTGCCTGGGGAAATGGTTGAATTTTCAAGCCAGATGAGCGAGTTACCAGCTCTCTCTAGTTCTGGAATACCGGCACAGGGTGCATTAAGCTTTTGGAAACATGGCTGCCTTCATTTCCAAGCTACTCCTTGACTTGCTTAGACCTGACAATGCCTTAGGTGAAATGGATTGTCTTCATCATTCTCATTGTGAAATTGCAACTCTTGGCAAATCCAAAGCTCATGCAGCTCCTTCAGAAGTCGGACACTTCTCTCACTATTTTTGTCTGTTTATATCTTTTACATATCTGGTACCACTTCTTTCTGAATGATGCTTAAAATGGTTCATTGGAGACTACGTCTCTCTGTGTGAATCAAAGTTTACGATATAGTGGGGGTTTCTAGGGTTTGTATTTCAACCCTGGTATTTATTTTCATATTTTTGCGTTATACGTATACTCATTTTAAAATTATGTTTTTCATTGTTTTAAAAGCAGCTTCATCAATCGACAGTTCTTATGAAGTCCGCTTTTAAAAATATTAAATGTATTTTTAAAAACTCTGTTTACAAGTCAGTGGCCCGACTAATCAATGAGTTGTCAGAGTGCAACTCCCATAGATTTCTTTATTCCAGATACAGGTGATGAGATAAGCCACCACAGATAAGGTTTTATGGATGCATTGGGCTTTAGTCTAAGGTCTCTCCCTTTAACTCTACCTGTAAAGGAAGGCTACACACAGTAAAGTCATTAGACTAGGAAATAGAAAAGTCTATTGTTGATTGTCAAAAGAGAATTTCCTCTGATTTTGCATTTTTTCTTAGGTTGCCTTCAGGTGTTTACAAGAGCAATGTTTGCCCTTCTCTGGCATGAGAAACAGATAGGATTAAGATGCTATAGCTGTCCTCAGAAAGCTCCAGAAACAATGGAGCCCGGCATGCTGCTTATCTGAGACAATTGTTTAAGTGCAGAATAGCAGTGTACAGAGCAGACAAGATGAGAAATGAGGAAGGCACCGAGAGACATTTCAGCAGATGCATCAATCATGATAATGTCTTATGGCCCTCCTAGTTTGGAAGTATGTAACATATGCTCTCTCAACTAATACCACTTCTTTCCTCTTTCATTGCAAGATGAGCATTGCTGTCTGCATTGGATTTTTTGCTGCCTGGAGCCCATATGCCATCATAGCCATGTGGGCAACCTTTGGATCCATAGAAGAGATTCCTCCACTAGCTTTTGCAGTGCCAGCTGTCTTTGCAAAGTCCTCCACACTCTACAACCCTATAACCTGTCTTCTTCTGAAGCCCAATTTCCGGAACACCCTTGCCAAAGATTTTGGAGTTCTCCAGCAATTGTGCATCAGGACTTGTTTTTGCCTCAGGATCCTGCAGAGCTGCAGTTACAGGTCAGTTCTGGAAATCAGCCTGAAATCATTGAAAGGGAGAAATGAGTCCAGCTGTAACTCAGTGCAGACTGTGGAAGGATGTTCTTACTTCCCATGTGAAAAGTGCAATGATGCTTTTGAATGCTTTAAGAACTATCCAAAATGCTGCCAGGAGAGGGTAAGCACTATGGAATGCACTCAGGAAAGTGTGTCTCTGGAGAGTAACCTCCAAGCAACACAGAAGCAAGGTGCCAAGAAATCCGTAAAGGTGGTTGTTCAAGGAGAAAAAAGGTCTCAAAATGATAACCTTGAAATCACCTTGGAAACAATGCCTACATGCAGCAGATTTGCAAACCTCTAGGGTTTGGTCTGGAGGATTTCAGTTAAGAAACAGTAATTTAATGGTACCAGACTTCTGAATGTAACCTTTTCTAAACAGCCCACCCACTGCTCGTTTTCTATACACCTTTCCTGGTTTTCTCAATTGCCCTTTGATAGAATACCTAATGCAGCATAAGTGTGTTTGACTTCCAAAACACAGACTTCAGTAACTATCTTGTGGTAGCTGCGGCGAGGAGTCCTGTGGCACCTTATAGACTGACTGAAGTGTTGGAGCATAAGCTTTCGTGGGCAAAGACCAACTACAGTGGTAGCTGTATTCAAACAGTGCTATTGCAATCAATTTCCTTCCCACTTGGAGTTTTGGAGCTCTTGTTTACTTTGTTTTTGAGGAAACAGGCCCCTTGATACTATGGAGACATTTCTGTAAGATGTTATTACTCTTTCTCAACATTGTATGTTTTATATTCTGTACATTCAAGACAAATAGCAGATTGCATATAAGAATTTTTTAAATGACAACCTCATGCTGTTTTAACTGTTTTAGAAGTTAAAAGACAGATGGTGTATCAAACTCCACTTCTCCAAAAAAAGCTGTGGAGAATAAACTGCTTTCAACAAAAGATAATTTTGTTCCTGACCATGAAGAGACAGAGGCAATTTCTGCTCCAATTTACATTGAAATAAAATAAAGAATACATATAAACAGATATAGTCCATATTTAACCTGGTTTAACTATAAGAAGAATTTGACTCAGAAATGTCAAAACATTCGTCCCATGTTCCTAATAAGGGCCCTGAAATAATTGGGGTGAAGAAAAGGAATTGAGAGGCTACAAAGAGCAAGAATTTGGATAACTTGGTAAGCTGGGCTCCAACAAACAATGAGTTTTAATACAGTGAAATGGAAGTGTGCTTTTCTAGGAACAAAGAATGCAGGCCATACTTATGGATGGAGAAACATCCTGGGAAGCAGTGACTGAGGAAAAAATTGTGGGGGTTATGGTGGCTAATCAGTTGAACATGAACTCCCGGGACATAGCCGTTGCCAAAAAGGTCCTTGAATGCATAAACAGACAAATGTTGAGCTGCAGTAGGAGGTTATTTGACTTCTGTCTTTGGCACTAGCATGACCATAGAATATCATGTCTACAATTCAAGAAAGATGTTCATAAATTGGGGAGGTTTCAGAGAAGAGCCATGAGAATGATTAAAGGATGAAAAAACATGTTTTAATGGTAGACTTAAGGGATACGGCTACACTGTAGCCTTCTTGCGGAAAAGTGTATGCAAATGAAGCTCAGCGTGGAATATCGCCACGCTTCATTTGCATAATTAATGAGCAGCTGCTTTTGCACAAGAGGCTTTTGTGCAAAAAGGAGCTGTGTAGATGGCTACTTTTTGTGCAAAAACTCCCTCTTGCACAAAAGTCACTTTTCCTCAAAAAATTAGGAAGCTAAGGAGCTCACTGTATTTAGTTTTAAAAAGAGATTGTTCTGGCGTAATCTGTCAAATGTAAGCATGTTTTAAAAGTGAGGATGGAGCCACCATCTTTTGTCAATCTTGAAATCAAAATTGGATGTTTTTTAAAAGACATTTCCCAGCAGGAAATCAGGAATGAATTTGAGGAAGTTCTGTGGCAAGTGTTACACAGGAGGTCAGACTAAATGATTAGAGGGGTCTTTTCTGGTTTTAGGATCTATGAAAAGATGGATATCAGATTATGTAAATCAGTGCAGCTTTGCATTGGTGTTCACAGAGGTGCACAATTTAATCCAGCTGAATATCTGGTACCCATGGTGCCGGGGTTCGGCTATTTGGTTTACAGACTGTCTTATTGGGCTGGTATACACACAGCTTTTAATTTGTTTTTGTTCCCAGTCTCCTACCTCCTCTTTTCTTATCATTCCTCCTTCATAGCACTCCCTTTGGCAGCACAATGTAGACCTCAGTCATGGTTCTGCAGCTGCAGAAGTTATGATCATGTCATGGTATTGGTTTCCCAAGAAATAGGAGAGAAACTATAAAAAAAAGAGATGAAAGTTCTAGAATACCCCTAGCTGTGAGCATAGCTGGCTGGGGGGAGGAGAAGGTTAGCTCGTCTATCACCAGCACCCTTTTGTCTATATTGCCACACCATTCCACAGCTCAGTCAACTAGAAGTGCTGTATCATTTCCTCTCATGAGAGCAGAAAGTGCCAGGCCCATGTGATTCAAGTATGCAGTCATCATTATTTAATATTTATATTGCTGTGGTGCTTAGAGGCTTTGATCAGGATCGGGGCTGCATAATGTGAGGTTCTGTAAAAACATAGGCAAAGCTGCAATTTCTGCTCTAACAAACTTGCAGTCTAAGTAGTGAGACTTACATTCCTCAGGAGGCACCACACCACCTAAGCCATCAGTGAAATAAACTGCACGTGTTTAGTTCTATAAATAATCCTGTGGCACCATCACCTTGCAGTGAAATGTCTGTGGTGGCTCAGAGGGAAAGTAATTGAATACCAGTGTACTAGTGATTCCGAGTAAGCAGCTATTTAAATGAATGTTATTGTAACAGATAGATAGTACACAGCTTGTTTACTTGGAACCTACTGTGTGGGTTCTTTCCTGTTCTAAACTGTCTCCCCCTTCACCCTCCATCTGCTCCCATGTGCATGATGCTTTTGAGGTTTTTGCTAGTTTCCCATAGTTGCAGAGTGTTTAAAATTACATGAGCAGCTGTTAGCTGCAGAGTACAAAACATTTAGACTGTATTAGATTAAAAAACTCCCATGTGGCTAAAGCCCCATGCTTCTTTAAGAGCCAGGCACATTATAAACTAGTTGTTTTTGTTTTGTTTTCTTTGAAGGATGAGCAAATTTAAACTGATTATCATTTTCTCTGAAGTCTCATGAGGTGAATTGTCAGTGATGGGAGTAAATCAAAGGCCCAATCCTATGTCCGTGAGGTTAAAGGAAGTTCTACCATGGACTACAAATGGAATAGGAGTAAGCCCCCATGGACTCAATACTGCAAAGATTCATGTTCATGCATAACTCTAGGCACTACTGGGACAGGGGAGGAGGGCATGGATCAGCATTTACGTCACATTCTCAGTACCTAGCCTGGGCGAAGAAAGTAATGATTCAACCAGTGGACCAAATTGAGTGATGATTCCTGGTCACATGCCTCCTGAAGCAAATTGTGCATATTCTAAGAAGCAATGACTATGCCATGTGGGTGTCTACTTAGTATCTGGAGGGGTAATTCTCAGCCAGGGTAGTCCCAGGCTATCTCTGCATGAACTGGCACACAAACAGTAAGTAGGCCCCTGAATACAATCCCACCTGAGTCTTGCGGGGGTACTCACACAGTTAGCCTAAGCTGCCCCATAGCCTGTTGCAGCCGTACTGTTGTTTTTGGTATGCTAGCTCAAACACTGTTAGCAGTCCTCTCTGCCAGTGCTGGGAAACACCCTCCCAGCTGTGGTATACATATACCCTGTGAGTAGTCCCACTGGTTCCAGTAAGTTTTCTTAATGCATGCATTCAAGTCTGTGGAGGACTGGGGTCTTTGCTGGTTGGCTCTCTACTAGGAAATGAACGACTTCTATGTTGCGGTTAACTGAGATATGATAAGAATGCATAAAACAGGAAAAAACAATCATTAGGAAGGGATTTTCAAATGAGTTAAGTGCCCATCTTCTTTAGGTCTGACAATATTGGGTATAATGTTTTCCCCTATTTAAAACACTCAGGAAATTCTGAAGCTTCACACTCTAAGTCCTATTTGTGCTAAGCTGCATGTCACCTATCTGATGAGCTAATGTTCAGAATAACCAGATTGAATGGTGAAGATGGTTTGTTTGCCCCATATAAGCAAATCAGAATAAAACCCAATGGCTACGTCTACACTGGCCCCTTTTCCGGAAGGGGCATGTAAATTTCACCAGTCGTCGTAGGGAAATCCGCGGGGGATTTAAATATCCCCCGCGGCATTTAAATAAAAATGTCCGCCGCTTTTTTCCGGCTTTTAAAAAAGCCGGAAAAGAACGTCTAGACTGGCCCCGATCCTCCGGAAAAAGTGCCCTTTTCCGGAGGCTCTTATTCCTACTTCAAAGAAAAGAAACTTCCTTCTTCAAAGTAGGAATAAGAGCCTCCGGAAAAGGGCGCTTTTTCCGGAGGATCGGGGCCAGTGTAGACGCTCTTTTCCGGCTTTTTTAAAAGCCGGAAAAAAGCGGCGGACATTTTTATTTAAATGCCGCGGGGGATATTTAAATCCCCCGCGGATTTCCCTACGACGACTGGTGAAATTTACATGCCCCTTCCGGAAAAGGGGCCAGTGTAGAAGTAGCCAATATGTATGGAGGCTCCAGGCTTTGCCAGAAGTTAAGTCGAACTTTCAATCAAACACACGTGTGTATGTCGGGGGCGGGGGGGAGAGAAGAGCAGTTTGCACTATACATAATCTATATTCTCTGTAAAATTCATGTGTATTTATACTATGGTTATTGTTTAATACAAAGAAATAAAGTTAATGTGTCACTATTTCTTTCCTCCAAGTCTGCATTGGAGTGCCTGAACTAGTCATAAGCTCTGAGCAACATTTGCTTTAAAATCATTACATCACTTTCGACTTTTCTTTTATCTACAGTTCAGATTTCAGATGATGGGTAGAAATATTTTTGTTTTACAATGGACGTCGAACCCTTAGTTTATTTCTTTTTGGAGTTAATTGGAGCATGATTGTGCCTTTGAAGAGAATTATGTAGCAATGCTCAGTGTCCACAAGCAATCAGACTGAAAGTCCAATTTAGAATTATGTTTATTATTTGAATAAAGTTTTTCTTCTTATGTTAAATGCTTTTTCTGGTGTAATGAGTCACACACAAATTCTTCTCAACCTGTCTGCCTTTGGATTGGTCCATCCATCATTTTTCAGAATTAGATTATTGTCATGAGTTATTATTTATAAATGTATTTGCAAATCATGATGCTGCTGATTACGGGGTCTCTTGACATTATGCATTGAGGTCTTATAAAAAACGGTTTCAATTATTACAAAATGAAACAATAAAAAGAGTGATCTCATCATGTCTGGAGAGTGAATTTATGCTTATTGTTGCTGATGAGATGGTGAGATTTTTAAATACATTGAGTAAAATCGACTTTTAAAAATGGGTTTCAGAATAAATGTCAATAATTATAGAATTAACAGTAAAAGCAAGGGGATTTCTGCTGCGGGTAGTATTCTTTTAATGCCCAGCACAAAGAATATAGTACAAAAATGTCACACCTCTATAACAAAAGTTATAGAGTAAAACATATTCAGCCACCTTGTGTCTCTAATATTCAGGGCTCAATAAAGCTACAACAACACTTGAAAATACCACACTTCTGAAAATTTAAGAATTTTTGTTAGAGAATGAGATTGTTCCAGATATTTGTACTGGAATATGGAATTTTTGGCTCCCAAGGTAACTAATCCAAATCTGTCCCCAGTCAGAAGAGATTGAAAGTTATTACCATCTGGTAGCTATTTGGAAGATTTGGTGATATAAACTGGTGATCTCAAATCATAGCTGATGGCTAACCTCATCACACACACAAATGCTATCACAAGTGGTATTATAATTGAACTTTTGATGTTAATCTTACCAGTTGGATTAAATCTTTAAAAACTAATAAATACATAACTTTAGATTTGAAACCAGCTGGAGATTATGCAAGCAGCTTAGTTTGCAGCACAGGGGATATAGCTTAGACATTAGGAAAAACTTGCTGACTTTAAGTATAGTTAAACATTGGAACAAGTTTTCTAGAGAGGTTGTAGAATCCCATCACTAGAAGGTTTTAGCAACAGGTTAGATGAACCTGTCCAGGATGGTCTAGGTATATTTAATCCTACCTCAGTGAGGGATGTAGGCTATATAACTTATTGACATCCCTTCCTGCCTTATGTTTCTATGACTCTGATGGTTAGTCTGTGTAATCACATGTGACTGTTATCCTCATTCTCCCTCTCCCAGACTTTCCATTTGTTTGGTACATCTACTTCTCATGTCTTTGTGTTAATATAGGTTCTAAATTCTTTGACAGGCACTCATTTTCCACCAGGAAGAGGAGAACTCAAATGATCCCAGCAACAGTCAACAGGTGCTAGTAGGTGAGTGACAAGTGGAGCCTTAGTGGCTACTAAATGGCCATTATGTTAGTCCTGGGCAGTGCCAG